GTTAAAGAGACAGATGAAGGCCAACTTGTTCCTTTTTTTAGTGTGAACTATCGACCTTCGAGGTTCCCCTGATGCAAATAAGATTATGTCAGCCTCTTTCCCCATTTGATCGGCAAAGCATGTGCTTTGGGCTGTGACAGTTCGAATTCCCGAGCTTCCTTTTTACTTCCTTTTTTCTTCTCTAAGACCCCATGTCTAATCATGGATGGATTTACAGAAACACTGGGCGATGAACCCAAGGTTCCAACAAAACGGAATAGACCTGGTTCCCCAGACAGTTCGCATTCGAGATCTTCCTCTCTATCCAACTCACTACAAGGCCGCCTATTTACAAAGTATGCTTGGAATGGATTTCTTCCTGGATAGTTCCAATAGCTGACCACTGCAGGGTCCTCCAACAAGTCATCCCAACGGACGATGAGGATGAGATCGATTCATTGGGAGACAAGGCCTTTGCCTCTCCTAAGAAACCAGCTTTCAGTTTGCCTGTAATGGCAAATAATTTCCGTCGCTTTAATGCAAGGTAGGACTGAATTATCGCCTGTGATATATATCGAAACTAAAACCACTGCAGAATCGGTGTGGTATTTCTGTTTCAGAGCCGTGTTGAGCAACTATTCACCTGGGACACACCAACCCATACCATCTCTTTCCTTTTTGTCTATTCTTTCATCTGCTTGGAACCTCATCTCCTTTTGGTTTTGCCCCTAGTAGTTCTATTGCTCTTTATAATGGTGCCAGCCTTTGCGACTCGTCACCCGCCACCTCCAAGCACCTCGACTTCGAGCACTACTCCGTACTACTCCTATGATGGACCAGCACTGGCACCAGCCAGGACTATTAAACCAGCGCCAGAGACTTCCAAAGATTTCCTTCGGAACATGCGGGATTTACAGAATTGCATGGCTGATTTCTCAGACGCCCACGATGCGGCTATCTCTGTTATTGCGCCGCTGACGAATTTCTCTAATGAGAAGCTCTCTTCAACTCTATTTCTCGGATGCACAATTGCCATAGTAGTATTGTTTATCAGTGCGCATCTGCTTCCCCTCAAAATTGTGATGCTTGTTGGCGGCAATGCGCTAGTTCTCTCCATCCACCCGACGGTGGGGCAATTCCTCTCCGGTCTGGTGCAAGATATGACCGGAGATTCCACAGACACAGATTCTGATGAGAATGACGGACTCGCCTCGTCCGTCCCTGCGGACCCATCTGCAGCAATGTCGGCCATGGAAAAGCTTGCAGATATCTCCTTGGACACATATCCCGAAGAACGGGAGGTGGAAATTTTTGAGCTGCAGCACCGGGCCGTAGGGACCTCAGAGTCTGGTTGGGAGAGCTTCCTGTTCAGTCACGCGCCATACGACCCACTATCACCATCTCGCATCGCGGGGGACCGACCTCGTGGATGCCGATTCTTTGAGGATGTCCGTGCCCCGCGTGGCTGGGCTTGGAAGAGCAAGAAGTGGGAACTCGACCTAGACTGCCGTGAATGGGTGGTGGAGCGCATGATCACCAGTGTTGGGTTTGAGGTCCCAGGCGTTAATGCCGAAGGCAACGCCATTGTCGGAGAAGTTGGTGGTTGGGTTTGGGACTTGCCTCAAACTCGACAGGAGTCAGACGACGATTTGACCTTAGCCTACGGAGACCTGCCTGAGTCACTATCTCCCAAGCAAAGTAAGAGCAAGGAGAAGGAGAAGGAGAAGGAGAAGGCGAAATCACGGGATTGGGAGGAAGGGAATGCGTCCTATGGAGTGGGAGAATGGAGACGCCGACGTTGGGTACGAGTGGTGCAACGAATAAGCCTTCCGCCGGAGGGGGTTGTCACATACTCGACGCTCAGTAGTAACAGCTAAAGGAAATACGAGATAACGAATCCAAGCGGCTCAGTTGCCGTCAATAATATTTACTTCCGGACACATGCATCCAGGTAGATACTCTTAATAAACAGAAAAAGACAAACGCCAGACTCGCCTTAACCAGATGCTCAGAACAAATAAACAAGGCATTACGACTGACTCTTCTTCCACTTGTTAATTCTCCGCAAATCACCCTCGCTCTGCCGACTGACTCTTCTTCCACTGGTTAATTCTCCTCCGCAAATCACCCTCGCTCTGCTGCATAGGATTCAGCTTGCGGTCACGAGTCATAGCAGTGAAATTATCTCCGTGCTTCTCAACCAAGCGCTGAGCCCACTCGGCCTCACGCGAGCTTTGGTACCGCGGCTTCTTAGCACGAACAGTCTTGCCCTCCTGATCCGCCTGGCGCTCAAGTTGTTGCACAATAACTGACTCCGCAAGAGGGTTGCTTTCCCCATTGCCTGCCAAAATGTCGTTCAGAGGGTCCTTGAGCGGGTTGTTGCGCGAGCGCTGGACGCCTGCCACTTCGATGTTGTCTTCGTCGTCGTGGATGACGCGCAGAATCTTGCCAGTCTTGGGATCACGCTCGACTCGTGTCTCACCGAGGTCAAGCTTGGCTGCGGCTGCTTTGGCGCTGCCACGGATGTGCAGTGAGTTCTTGTTCTCGGGGTATTGGTCTTTGTTTCCGGGGAGGCGTTCGCGGCCGCCGGATGGTGCATTCAGCTTGTGCATCAAACCAAGACGCTGGTAATTTTGTGTCAGGGTCAGATTGCGATCCCTTTAGTCGTTAGTGTATCATATTTTCGAGGTGACCAAGATACGCATACCAGTTGTCGGCGATGATCTGATTGCCCAGCACATTGATCTTCTTGTGGCCGCTCTTGAGGCGGCTGTCCTTGGCACGGGCCGTGGAGCGCCCAGAGCGGGCCTTCTTCTTTTGCAAAACTTTGCCCATTGTGAATTTTGAAGTGAGTGTAGATGTCAAATGGGTTCTTGTTCGCTGTAGGCGGCGATAGTAAAAAACGTTATCGAAACTTTTTTTCCGAGTTTGCAACATTAGTCTTGGCATGTTTGCTCAGTGTCCCGCGATAAACAACGATAGCGGCTCAGCTGTCCGCAGGTACTGTACTTCCGTGGGCTATATTGCCTGTCACTTTACAGAACTCTGGCCGATTCCTTCGCAATGGCTTCTCGCTTTTTCGCTTCACGCAGAACAGGAATTGCCCTCCTTGCAGGATGCCTTTTGTTCTCAGCCTTTGCCGCGGCTAATGTCGGCCCTGGACAGCTCTCCGTGGGCCAGATCGAGGAGCAATTGCAGGTATGCTGTACAACATACTTTGTTCCCTACATGTGGACTAACCTGCCACAGAGCTGCCCTCTAGTCGAGTCCCTCAATGAACATAAACGTGCAACCCGCCCAGAGACCACTAGCTTGACATCGAAGGTCTTTTCGGTCCTCTTCCCGAGCACCCCAGCCGTGAACGCGCTTCTGGCAACTTTGTATATCTCCGGTCCACCCAGTAAGTCTTCCCCTCAGTACCTGTAATAGGTCTCTACTAAGTGCTATAGACTTCCTCCTGGCACTATGCCCTCCCAACATCGACCCCTCCTCGCTGTCAGTGATGGTCGCATTTGCCGTGGGCGGCTTGCTTGGTGACACCCTCTTCCACCTACTGCCTGAGATCTTCGTCGGTGAAGCCTCCCCCGACCACGTGAGCTTCGTAATGGTCGAGCCAAACAAGAACCTACTTCTCGGCTTGGGAATCATGGTCGGGTTCTTCACCTTTGTCGCAATGGACAAGACCCTGCGCATCGCGACTGGTGGTGAGAGTGGCCATGACCACTCGCACAGCCACGCGCACGCGGAATCAGTCGATGCAGTTACATCCGGCGCCGAGACCAAGAAGTCCAGCGGCGAGCTGAAGAAGCGCAAGTCTGCTGCGAAGGAGTCCTCTGATGTCGTTCCCGAGAAGGAAATCAACCCCAGTGTCAAGCTTGGTGGGTACCTTAACCTCATCGCTGATTTCACCCATAACATTACCGATGGCCTTGCCCTTTCCTCTTCCTTTTATGCCTCGCCTACCATCGGCGCGACGACCACTGTGGCTGTCTTCTTCCATGAAATCCCCCATGAAGTCGGGGACTTTGCTCTGCTTATTCAGTCCGGCTTCTCGAAGCGCAAGGCCATGGGCGCACAATTCGTCACCGCTATAGGTGCGTTCCTGGGCACCGTTATTGGAATTGCCGTTCAGGAGTTTGGTGGCAACGGCACTATGTTGGATGATACCCAGTCTGCTGGTCTTATGGGAACTAGCCTTACCTGGGGTGATATGCTTCTTCCGTTCACGGCGGGCACATTCTTGTATGTTGGAACCGTGGCTGTGATTCCGGAGTTGCTGGAGACTGGTAAGGACAAGGGCGTTGAAGTGCGAAAGACTATCACACAGTTTTTGGCTGTTGCTCTCGGGGCCGGCATTATGCTTGCGTAAGTATCTGCTTTGTTTTGTTTTCACAAGGCCTCGATGGTACAATTATCGCTGACGCACTTTATAGTATTTCTTGGGATTGATTCAGGTTGTATTGGGGTTGGTATGTGCTGGTATACACCGGCAATATCATACTGCCAAGCCCTATTGAGCCTTGGTGCAGCGACAAAGTCCGTACCTTTGGTTTATTGAAAAAAGAAATATTGAAATACCTAAGGGAAGCCTGCCTGACTGGTAAATGGACCAACGCCCCATTCAACCGGATACTATGGTGCTTGTCATATATGATCATTTAGATTAATCTTGCACGAATAAATAACCGTTGATTCAATATGGCAATAGCCATGTTAGAGCCAAAATAAATGCACAAGAATCATCAAGCCAGCGCCCCTAGAGCTAACTCCTCTCCAACATGAATGAATACCCAGTCATATTCCTTGGTAATACACAGAAGAATGCAAACACAATTTTGGACTTGGGGAAGCAACTATCCCAAGTACTTATGAAATAAAGAAACCTCAACCGTAAGGACGGATGCCGAGGTGAATGTTGTTAATGAATCTCTCAAATGGCGAAGAGAGACGAGAAAGAGCTCGAGACGCGCACAGCGCAATGTATGCAAGCGAAATAGACGTTAGACGAGGCTGGAAGCCATTTACTCGTTATAATGGTAGACCTGAAATACATGTCAGCAAGGTTACCCCTTCTCAGTATACTAGGCAAAAAATCGGAACATACGAAGTAATCTGGGAGTCCAATGACCTCATATCCCAGCCTCCGAGCCATCTTCGCGAAGCCCTCTGTCTCCACCAAATGGAAGAACGGGAAGGCAGGGAACATGGCACCGTCACGATGCACATCCGCCTTGACCAACAAGGCCGTACCACCAACACCGTCAAGAGCAAGCATCTTCTTCGGATCCAGCTTTTTCATATCCGGCAAGTGCGCCATGAGGGTGCGATACGTAGGCATCTCAGCGTAGCCTTCCAAGAGAATCTCATCAGGCCCCATGTTCGCAGCGAGGTTCTGCGCGGTCTGGCTATCAACCCAAGAGTTGAAGTCGTAAGGCCTTACATCCCACTTCTTCTTCGAGGAATCGTAGTAGCGCTGGAAGCAGTTCGGCACGATGACTGGCTGATCGAAGGCCGTTAGATCCTGAATGAGAGTAGCCGGTGTCTCGACAACGTCACTGTCCAGCCAGAGGACCCACGAAGTCCCGGGGCCGAGGGTTGTGAAGACCAAACTGTTTCTCGCACGACTCATTGACTCGCGGCGCTCTTTCTGCGCGGCCATTGCATGGCGGGCCTTCTCGTCCTGGGATTTCAATGGCGGTTCGAAGTCTTGGCGGAGGATACTGATACTCGCGAAGCGGTTATCGATTGGCCCCGATTGCGTCTTGGCAATGGCCTTTTCCAGAGCCGCGACTGCGGCGTTTCCCTCGCTGGTCTTTGGTGCGATGAATCCCAGGGAGATCAGCTCGTGCGGATAGCTCAGCTTCTCGATATTATCCCAGTATGCTTGGTAGAAGCGGGCTAGCGGGGTGAGGATGAGGACCCGCTCGCCGTTGGCGACTGAGTCCGCAGTGTTGGTTAGGCTGTTGAGGTCATAGTGGACAACCGGGGGAGCTGCCTTGTAGCCATCGCTCCGGACTGCCTGTGATTTGAAGAAGGGTTTCGTGGGTGGGGAGAGAGGATGTTCGGCGGCGTTTTCCTGGCGCTGTTGGGAGCTAGCGGATGCGGAGGATGCGGAGGGAGTCGAGGGGGAGAGCATGAAACATATGAAGCCAAATGCCAGCAGCGCTGCTAGCACCAGGCTAATTGGGCTCGTGCGGCGCATGGAGCGTGCAACGGCCATGGCCGATCAGCGTTAAACGTTAAATTGGAGATTGAAACGTGTCGCTGTCCAGGTGAAACCGTTGACGTCGAGCTTGCGGAAATGCCTCAGGCACCAAGCAACCAGATTCCAGCCTTGCCTCAATTCCTCCCCTGGTGACGACTACGGGAAAGTAATTTTGACGTGAAAGAGATTGGAATTATCAAAGAGAACAGCTACGGATCGATAACTTTTATTCTTTGCCCTGTCCGGAAAGAGACAAACCAAGACAACCACATGTCACCTCACTATTAAGGACCCTTCCACGGGGGCCGAGAACCCTCCAACGGCGGCCAGGATCACAACTCCGCATGGTCCAATTACGAATCGGGACTCGCTCGGGCTTTGGAAAAGCTCCGTGTTCGCGGGATACTTCAAGGAGGGTCCCGAAGAGTCTCATCGCCGAATGCGGCCGGTCACTATATAGTACATTCCTGATCACGGATTACTCAAACCCACGGTTAACTTTCCTCAGGGGCAATGAATTAAAGCACAAAACAATGGGTATGTTCTTCTAATTAAGTATCTATCCATGAGACTTCGGTATATGCAATCATTGAGGGTCCGTGTAGATGAAGAGGTTAGGGCAAGGTACGCATCACTCCTTCGAACGCAACCAGAGCCATTGCATTCGCCGGGAATGCCCTAAGGAAGCATGGCACGAAGCCCCGCCAGTACCCTCTCCACCCACGCTCACGCCATACGGCAACCGCAGCGTCCTTCCAGCCGCGGAACTGTCGCTTGCCGTCATTCATCGCACCACCCATGGGGTCGGTCATGAGACGCTGCTTAACGACGTCGGAGGGGTAGGAAGTGAGCCAGAAGCATTGGGCGGAGATACCACCGGCCCAGAAATTGATCGCAGGGGCAGACAATGTAGTTTTCTTTTTGAAGTAGCGAGTCAGAACGTCATAGGAGCCCCACCAGAAGAAGAAAAAGGAGCGGAAGAAGATCGTCGCCCAGAGGCCGCGGTATAGTCCGCTAATACCATGCGTGCGAACCTATCCATGTTAGTCGCTGTGCACATTATGTAGGCATTGGCACTCACCATCTTGCGCATACAGTCGATCGGCCCGCTGTACATGCGCTTCGATTTGTCGGCGGCGTATTGCACCTGCAGGCGTGCCTTGATGTGCTCGACTGGGGCTGCGATGAAGCTGACCGTTGTACCGGCCATGATACCTGCAATGCCATGTCCGAAACTAGGAAGAGTTGCGAGGTCTGGCTGGTAGCGCGAGAAGGGGAGGTAAGGGCGGATGTGCGGTTTCGAGAAGACATTTTCGAGTAGTAATCGGCGATATAGAGTCAACGAGCCGAGCATGCTGCAGGCAAGTCAGCAATATTCCTCTTCATAGCGCGGAACACTTACACAGAGTCCATCATCATCCATCCGACCAGCGGCGGTGTAGCTCCCTTATAAAACCCTTGTAATCCTTCCTTTCGCAAAGTCTGCAACGAGCAATCCAACGGTCCTCGGAACTGCACATCTTTGCTAGTTTGTAGGCGAACCTTGACAGTATCGAATCTGTGCAATTTCGTTAACGATTGATCCAAGGCGAAGTAGTTGGTTATGCATACGGATGGCCAACTGTAGAAAACAAAATTAGCTTGAACCCAAATCAAAGCACTGAACGCAACCTACCACTGAGCTTGGCAATGCCTGAAAAGACGCCCGCCACAAAACCCTTGTAATTCGACTTCGATGTCCCAGACTGAGCAAGCGCGTTTTCCGCCTTCTGTTGACCCGTCATATCAGGTGCCGAAACAGGTAAAGACGCCGGCGTAGATGACATCGTCCAAGAACCCAAGTATTTCCTCCAATCCCCGATCCTGGATCGCAAATCCAATGCGTCACCGGATGGACGCCTCGGAAATCGTAGGGTGCTCGTGCGCAACGCGCGGGCGATCAAACCGAAATGCGGTGACGGATGCCGATAAGGATAGAGTGATTTGGGGTCGCTGGGCTGCCAAGGAGGGTTGTGCGCACTGGCAGGTGTTTCCTGGGGAAGCTGGGGTATATATTTGACTGTAATGGAGTAATTGAGGGAAATATTGTTGAGGGGGGTTTGTTTTAATGACCGTCTGGGCCCCGCAGATTCCTCTCGGGGAGAGTGAGTGTTCCTCCGAATCGCTGGTCATGCCTTAGGCGAAAATCGGAGGTTGGCTTTCGAGCTAGCTCTATATGGAGTAGTAAATCTGGGGATTAACTTTGAGACCTCGGGAGTTTGCCCAGGTGGATATCAATTGATCTTTTATCTGATGGCAAAAAATCTGGGTTACCCCGGACCGATCTCATATAACAGAGACAATAGGGCGAAACCCGGTGGGAAGACTGCTAGGGAAATTCTCGTACAAGGTCCAAAAAAAGGATAAGTCGTTGCTCAGAAAGGCACTCCAGATGCGAGCAATATGGGAGACTCCAAATGAGGCGGATATGACAACAGCCACATCCAAGTGGCAAACCGCTAGACCAACAACATGTCCACCGCACCTCAGAGGACATTCACCCTCTACAACTTATTACCCATGGAAGGACCCGGTCATAGCGCCAGCTGGGTAGCTGTTACTGTGGTGTGGTCCAACCAAGGAAAAAGAAATACAACATAATATTTCCTATTGAAGGTGATACTTGGCTTCCACTTGGATATGCCAAGGTCTGAGACTGGACTAAAACGGGGTATATAATTTAGATACATGATGTCGTGATGCAAGACCAAAGGCAGTAGTGACCGAGGCCAAAGATGTTTGATCATGGAAAGTGAGAATGACGAGAATAAAAATGATAGCCAAAAAGGGAAAAAAGCAAAAGCAAAAGGCCCCATGCACGCTGTATCAGCCTTTTTGGGTGAACTCATTTTGTTCCAGAACACCAGAAAGCAGATATAAGACGAACAAGCACGAAAGAAAAGTTCGAAGGGGATCCCACTTGTCTAATGGATAATAAACAGAAACAACCTTTTGATGCGAAGCCGGTGTGGGATGGGTCTATTACCGGCCCTTGGCGGGCTTTCGAGCCATCTGGCGAGCCTTCTCCTCATAGGCAATGAGCTTCTCCACCAGCTCAGCCGGAGGGCCGGAGTTCTTTGGGACATCTCGTGGAGTCCGCTCCGATGTGTTGTTCATCGAGCCATGGGCGAGGTAGTCACCCGCCTCTAGCGCCAGGGGCGTGACGGGGCCCGGGCTGACCAGAGGATCCAAACGGGGCGCTGAAGGACCTTGGTGCACGCCCTCGATGAACTCACGGTACTGCCACACCATGTCGCGTGACCCGGCTGTAGTGCGGTAGGTAGACTGCCGAGATTGGCGAGGAGATGGAGGCTGAGAAGTGGGATTGTGAGAAGCACTGCTCGACTGATATACGGCGGGATGGAACCGGGGCAGGCTGCCGAGATGGAAGTTCTGGGTTTGCTTTGCCTTAGATGGGTTCTGGGTCCGAGTGCGAGTTGGTTGGGGAGAGTTTGAGCGTCGTGGAGACATGATAGGCGAGGCAGCCGGGGAGTAGTAAGGTGAGTTATCAGAACGCATTCTTGTTGACGATAACGGGGGCCGCGATGGATACTGGCCGCGACGGGCAGGCCGGATTGGAGGGATTTGTCGGGATTTGGCGGATTGGGACGCACGTTCCCAGTCGTCAAAGTAAGAGTCGTGATCGAATCGACCGGTGAGTGGTGTCACGGGAAGATCCTCGTATATTGGACCAGGGCGTCTTGGGATAGGAATGGGTCTCGTGGATGAGGATAAGGTAAGCGAGTCAAAAGCGTCGATCGGAATGCTATCCGGATAACGGGGCCGACGAGGTGGCGAAGGGGGAGTATAAGTAGACGAGGTGGCTGTCAGATCTCGCAGGGAGGAGAGTGACACAGGTGTGGGGTACCCGTGTTTGGTGATCAGACTTTCAAGATGATCTCTTGGTTGGAATGCTGAGCGTCGGTGCGAGGCCGATGATAGGCCTAAATTTTGATTAGCATGGGAATGAGAATGCCACACGTGTTTAGCGAAAAATGTATGAAACGAATCGCGATAGCCGACAGAATATGTTTTAATATATGTCACCGAGGGGGGAAAGTTTGAGAATATAGAATCCGCAGGGGTGTAGGCCAATGGTGGGAAAGACACCCGGGATCTCAAAATAGGAAAGAAATCAAATGGGTATGTAATTGATCCACTTACTTGGGGAAAATGAACTACTATGTGACGAGGGGTAGAGAGAAGATGATGACGAAGAAGATGATGAAGAGGAAAATGAAAAAGGGGAATCTGAGGGAGACCGTTTGCGCATCTGTTGATTATTTTCCCGGTTAGTGTTAAGCACTTGCGGGGGGGGGAACTCCACCCTTCTATTAAGAATAGAACAAAAGAAATTGCAAATGACAAAGCAGAAAGGATAAAAGAAACTGGGAAATAAAATGAAATAAAAATAAAGATACACAATATAAAACAATGTAAAACGATCTCTTACACTAGGTATATTCTGAGTCCGAGGACTCCGATGCCCTCAACATCCAGACTCTTCCAAGGCTAGATCCAAGGTTGGGGAACGGGATGACGAATGTGCCGCTCTCAGAGTGGAGCTCCTTTAGATTCCCAATAGCCTTCAATGTTGGGAGACACAGGACGAAATGTGAGAAGGAAAAGAAACAGTGAGGACTACAGGAAATGCCCTTCTTAAAAGCTCCGGGCCAGGCACCTGTGAAACCAATATTCACCCAGGTACGTCTCTCTCCACGCGCAACCGCCTGGTGACCCAGCTTCTTTCAAAGGCCAGACTCAAGAAAATAAAACTAAAAATAATCACTTCTTCATATCAAAATTGAGATAATCCAGTTTTGATTTAGCGAGAATGGGCGCCCAGAGTGAAAATGGGTGAAGATCCCCGTCCAGTCGCAAGTGATTGACCGGGGTGTCATGCGTCGACCTGGTCATTTCTGATTCGCACGCGTCTTGACTCAACACAGTGACGTCTCAACTACCGACTCATGTCA